ACTGATTCAGTCGTAACATACTGGTATGACTGTGATTGACGTGATATGATTGTGACTTACAACAATATACTCACCCTGTGATGTGCTAATAAATGAAACAATTTTTTGCTCCCTGGCCCTTTCATGGAATGCCATCCTACCTGTTTGCAGGAATCTTATCAATACTTTCATTAGCATTTGAGTTTGTACCTTTAAATGAAGTTTCATTTCTGTTTTTCCAGCCTATCAAGTTGACCGCTTCTCTCTTATTCCTCGTGCTGAAGTTATTTTGAATGCTAGTTAAATAGTTAGCCAAGTATAGTTAGCCGAAAACATCTCTGGTGAAAGTCCCTAAGATTGGTACCAAGACAGATCTTTGATGAACTTTCTACTAACCTCCCTCCAGTTTGATAGCTCTCTTTTATGTATCACATACTGTTGACTCCATTTTAACTAGCTCTTGCCAAGTTCAAGTTTTCTACTGAACTCTGTCTTCTCCAGTTTACACAGTATTTTATCTTGTGGTTCCTTACTGAATGCTTTGCCTTGATCCCAATGAATTAGGTTTACCATATTTTCTTTCTTTCTTTAGAAAACCAATTACTTTAACAAAATGAGACCAGGTTAATATGGTACAATCTACTTTTTCAACCCCGTATCATACTTTGTCCCATTTCCATGTTCTTACTCATATTTAATTATCCTTCCATTTAAAATTAAGTCATAGAGCTCTTCATGCTATTGAGCCCAGATTAACAGGTCTGTCATTCATGGATCTTTTCTGCCCTCTTTCCTGAATTCAGGCACCCCATTTGCCATTCTCCAAGGATATAGTACTATCTGAGGATGATGGTTACCTACAGTCTTACTTTTAGTTCTTTTAGTACTGTAATGGAGATTATCCAGTACCGCTGACTTGAGTGCATAAAATTATTTGAAATGTTCTTCTCTTTGGTCTGTGATTGTTCTACTTCTTACACTTATTTTCGTGAGTCCTATTATTTACCGCATTTTACATCATGCTTCATTTTGGCCACGCAGTGTTGCTATATTCTCATCCCATGGCTTCGAGTACCATTTGCAGGAAATCCTAAGCAACAAGAAGATTGAATTTTAAGAATACAGGTCCTTGTTACAGTGGTGCTGGAATGATATTTGCTAATTCTTCTATTCTTTTATTTCACAGGGATATCAGCTGCACACAGAAAGTAATGATGTTGCTGAGATCTACATGGAAAACATGGCAAGGCCTCTTCTGTGACATTTAATTTGATTGTTATGGAAAGCTCTACCACTACTTTTTACCACTGTCACTTTATAGGAGTTGATGAATTTAAAGACATAACTGTTCAAATATTTCCTAATATATATTAGAGAATATATCAGATATCCATACATTTCAACATTCGTCCTCGTTCGAGAAGTAAATGGGCACCACACATGTAGATAATCTGACAAAAATTAACTGCATCTTATGCTCTTTCCAGTTTATTTTAAATCATTTCTCCATTGCCTGTTGTCAATTGAGTCTTTTTTCCGTTCCATATAGATCCATCAGCTGCCTATGTCTTTTTGATATTATGGATCCTATTAATTCAGCTGCCACCTTTGGCCTTTTGTAAAGCATGCCAGCTGTGAAGTGTGGACCTCTGATTTTCACTATATCCTTCAATAAATCTGAATGACCTCTTTTCTATTCAGGCTACTGTAACATAATTCCAGCTGGCTAAAACATACTTTCAGCGCAGTTTTCCCTTGCAAGATTGAGGGGGTTTCTTCCTGCCCCCACCCCAAGCTTCTTGCTTTGACTGCTAAACGAATGCTGTAATGCTCACAATAGTGCCTTCATTTTAATAAGCAGAATGAGCAAAGAAAGAAGGATTTATATGGTCTGAAAAGCCTTAGCAGACCTTTGGTGAACTATACAGCTGTGTCACTTATTATGCAGGCAGCTGGTTACTGCAAATATTCTGGCAATCTTAATAATTCTACTGATTTTGTTTAACTTAGAGTTCCTCGGAAGATTAGAAGTGGGATTTATCAAAACAAAAGGTAAAAAAATTTTTCTCTTTAACATTCTAGCTAGTTCTTTTCCCTGAAGACATAAAAGGCTGAACCTCTCGTATTTTTAAGGGCTTGTCAATGTAGAAAAGTTATATCAGCCCATTGCTATACTGATATCAGCATAAATATCTCTATAAACACTTAGCTATTACGATGTGGCTTTTATTACTTTATTAATATTATTTTGGAAGCGTTGTAATCTAAAATAGGAAAAGAGACAAAAATGAAGCTTTAATTCTGGAGTGGAAGTATATGCAAGTATAACCAGCAAAATTTTCCCTAACGTCACTCAGAATTGGATGACGATCCAAGTCAAACAATGAATTCTTTTAGTTACTTTGAAGGATCTATACTGACAGCTGTGTATATCATTTTATCTCCACTTGTTCTTTCTATGCCTGGGATGCAGGGCGGCTATGAGGGAAAACAGGTTTTACTTATGGGATTGTCTTGATTTATAAAGTAGGCCTGCGAAACAAAGCTGGTTGGAGGAGATGGCTGGAGGAAAGCGTGAGTATCCTCTCTTAACCCCTCACTCAGCATTGCAGTGGTGCCTTTCCTTGAAACAACGGAGTGTGCGCTCCCGCCCAGACAGCTTGAAAGTCGTGTTAGAAATCGAAGCAGCACCACTTAAGTTAAACACGTGCTGGAGCTTCCTCTTGTCTGAGGGAAATCAGTGCTTGAGATCCAGAAGCTTCTGGCAATGGCCAAATCTCCGAATTCAAGAGGAAAACATGACCACTAAAATGCTGTTTACCTCACAGGACTTACCTCTATCAGCAATAAAACAGGTCTGCCTCTCACTTAGATGAACACTGAGCTAGCTCCCATTCAGACAGAAGCACGGACAAGAAAAACCTGTGATCAACCCCCCAGACCTATGACCTGTAATTAAACCATTCCTCCGAACCTTAGCCAAAAAGGTGCTAACCAAGTCACTGACTTTGACTATTTCCTGAAATATACAGGACTTCAAATGCATCCATGTGACTTTTTGATTCTAGTGGGTTCAAAAAGATGGTACAAGAGAGGAGTCTATTCTGAGATGTAAAGTCTATGTAAAAACAACCCACTCTTGTATGCCGCTTATGTGTAAAGCTTTTTCCAAAGTGATATTGTGAAGACATTTTTCACAGTTAAAGAAACTGAGGCACAGAAATGATTTGCCTCAGGGCACATAGGGAACTAGTGGAAAAGCACAGAGTTATACCCCACAGCTCCAGATTCAGGGCACAACACCTTGTCATATGAGTAATCCTACGTTCCTCCATTTGAGCACATCTTTATAGCATGTACCTGTAGCTAACGAAAGGATCTGCTCTTCATTTACCAATGCTCTGAGCACTAAAGAAGGGAGGCGGAAGAACTCAGATTGTGGTTTTACTCTGAAATTTCAAAAGGTACAATTTCTACACTGGGACCTGCGCATATTTTAGGTCTCTTTTGTAAACAGAAATTGCACACAATGTTAACTTTCATACATTTTTATTCTAAAATTTTATACCACATACTGTCTTTCTGAATGTATTTGAAGCCATTTGATCTTCTAAAAATTTCCTTCAGCTGGGAGGATGATTCAGCCTGTCAAAGATATAATGGTAAATAATCCTTTTGAAGATATTTTCCTGAGGAGTACAGTAATTTCAAAGACACTTGGAGCTTGAGAAGTGCTAAGTTTGGCCCCAGCGTGATGTTACATCACTTCAGCTCGTGATGTCAGCTTCCGGTTTGTTGTGACACTGGCTTCTGCCATCAACAGACTTTACCAACACATATATTGTTCCATTATTTTTCTCCTCTTTCTGATCACTGGCGCCAAAACAATTGGAAAAATTCACTGATCCTGAAAGAATGTTTATTTCTTAATAGATTAATAATTCTGCTAGGCCGTCCTATATTAGATATGAAGTTGTATCACCAAATACAAACAATCAGAATTTCATCCAAAAAAACCTTTTTCAATGAAAATTTTCCCTTCCTTAGATCAGGACTGTTAATGAGCTTTATCTTTTTTTTAATATCTATCCTACCATATACAAGTAGCTCATATTTCATGACACATTATAGTTAGAAATTGGATCACCAGCTCTTCTAAATGTAACACAAGGGATTACAATTTCAGAAGTCTTTTTTTTTTTTTTGTAGGACAGCTAATCAGCATTTACTGAAAATGGAGTCCGCTTTAAAATGTTTTATTGGTGCAACACCAAAAGTAAACACTCCAGTTCTTAAGCTCATTTTGAAAATTTGCAGATAGGTATGTTTGTTCGCATTTCTTACTGCAACAGACAGTGAAGTAGGAGAGCTTGTGTTTCTCACAGTAGAAATCTCTATGCTGATAGCCACTGAAAGATCAAAAAGTATGCAGAATAGAAGACTTTTAATCAAAATGACATGAAAAAGACTTTGTCTTGCAATATGTGAACTGTAAAAGAAAAAAGGCACAGTTGGTTCTGGTTTACACTGTACAGTGCTGTTTCAAATTTCCAGGGTATAAAATACTATTAACCTTTCAGTATCCCCTCTTGGAGCATTAGTCTTTAACTAGCTCTCTGAAGACCTTATATACTAGGCCTTCTGCTCAGTCTTTTTTACAGAGCTCAACCTTGAAACATTACCACCTTGAGCCTGACCTTTTCACTCTGTGCTTCTGCAGCGAGCTCAAATGGGTTTGGACTCTTGGTGGAGATTCTCCCCCTGCAGGGAGCCAGGCAGTCGGCAGCGATCTACTGCACTGGGAGGACAGCCTTCCAGCACAAGCCACTGTGTGTCAGTCAGCTGGAATAAAGGTGGTAGAGTCCTGAGGCTGGGTTGGGGAAAGCAAAGCTTGACTTCAGGCACCTGTGACTCTGTATCTCAGAGTTCTCCTCTGCCATAGGCAGCCAATTTCTTGACACCTCTGCCTCTTAGCCTATGGCTACAATGATGTAGCTGCACTCAACATCCCTGTTTCCTTCCAAGCCTGTAGGTTGTTTAAAGCAAATGCTTACCACTTTTCTTCTCTCTTCAAGACTCCCATTCACACATTGCAAGGTCTGGACTGCACATGCAGGTGAACCTGTCCATGACGCCTGGCCAGTGGCTGAGTGGAAATAAGTGCAGATGAGTATAACCTCAGCCATTGAGGGAGCTGAATCCCCAGCTCCTCCACCCCTTCTATGGGTTATAGCTGTTGCAGTGTAGCACCTGGCTAGTGCTAAGGCTGGGAAGCTCAGGAGCGGATACTGAACTGCTTGGTCAGTACATGTTACCTGAACTCCTACTCTCTGGGAATGAGATCTGGCCCATGAGCTGACAGCTGGGTTATGCTACGTGTCTTTCAAACGTTAAAAAGTCTAGATCCATCTAGATGCCTGCTTCACAGTGCATCTGCATAGTTACTCTGGAGATTTAAAAAAAACAGATCTTGTACAGCAGCAATTTCTGAACAGTCATCAAGAAATATGTACAGTGAAGTGCAAATCATTTTTCTAATAAATAAAAGGGTCTAGTCATTGAATGAACGTAAATGCTTGCAGTGAGAGAAGGGGTCCACCTGAAATACGAACGTTTCTCAAACTCAAACTTATTTTGCAGTTCCTAAATGTTTTATTAGTGCTTTTTATTGCTTAGTATTTGTATCACTAACTTGTTCTGTTTTCATCTCTTAACTAAAGTGTGTACAGCAAAAAAAAAAAAAAAAAAAAAAAACAGCAAATGAGACTACCTGAAAGGCATATGAAGTTTGTCCGGGTGCAGGAGGCAGCAGAACCAAAAATGTCCTCAGTAAAATTGGTCCTGCAGTTCCAAAAAAGCTGGGTAACGTGTGAACATATAAATATACAGCACTGTAGGGAGCAAAGCTGCACAAGAAACTGATGAGTGTTCTCCAAAAGAAAGTCCTATGCCCCAGTTATCCCATTGCCAGCACTAAGGACTGCCAAAGCTTGTCTGTGTGCTGTATAGAGTTTGTACTGCTTGCACTTCACACATTAGGAGCGGTGCACCGAGACTCACTTCTGTGTAAGTACCTATATTGCTTGTTGGGTAACTTGCAATCTACTTCTCACTTTTGCAGCCTGTGAGACTTCTCTGACAGCTCTGAAAACAGATCTCATTCCTGGTATTTTAGCAGCACCAAAACCAAGTCAAATCTCACCATTACTTCAAGCTACTTTCATAGCCGAGGCATCTTATGTGGTCCAATCTTTAAATGCGATTCAAGTAGGATTTTCAGACCCCCAAGGAAAATGAGTTGATCTTGTGTCAAGCACTAAGAAGTGCTAGGATCATAGGCTTGGATCATAGGCTTACAGGAGAAAAAAGTTTCTGAAATAACTCCAGCCTATCATATGCTAACAAGTCCAGCTCCTTATTAGCTAGTGTTCACCTCCTGATCTGTTTCTAGAGAGCAATCATGTCCTCTAAGCATTTGTTTTGTGAACCTAGACTATACCACCATTCCTAGTCTCTCACAAATCACATTCATGCATTCCCGCAATCCCACTTTCCCTATGACTGGTGGCATTCCCATGTATCCTCCCTTCACTTAGCTGACCGGAATTGGACACAGACATCCAGCTGTATTTCTCTTGCTTCCTGCCAGATGGTGTTGCCAATCCCTTCTCCGTATTTTAAACATCGCAGCTGATGCATTGTAGGATGGCATTTGCTTTTTTCATGCTCATAATACATTGATTAGTTATAGAAATTCTGAAAATGATCAATTATATACATTTCTCATTTCCAAAGGATGGTCCTGATTTTATAGAATAATTTCCTGTTTGCCCTAAAAGCATCCCCTTACACTTTGTCTTATTTGTCCGTTTCAGTTATTTCAGACCTGTTGATAATATCCTTTCTTTTTCTGTGAGATTTCAATCCCCTCCTCTGCTGATGCTGCTGCTCATCCATGTATCATCTGTGCATGTCGTTAATGTACATGATAATTACAAAAATAGCAATTAATGAGTGGTCACAAGATCACTTCAAGGGAATTGTACCACTAACTGAATACTTCCTCATGCAGAATAGTCTTTTCAGAGGAGAACACTGGCTTAAATAAGCCTTTTAATGGCACAGTATCTTCTCACAGTCAAATTTTCTGTGTGATCATAGTAATTAGGGTCTTTAAGATACCAACCATCTCCTTAAAGGCTACAGAAGAAGACTCACCACTTTCAGAAGACAAGAGAAAGCCGTAGGCTGTCCAGCATCTCTCAGAAATACACCGTTACTCAGGCTATATCTGTAAGCAAGGCAATATTCCTAATTGTTGCCTCCATATGGATAGGAGATGAAGACTTTGGGACAGGAGGAAAAGTAGCTTTTCCTCTGCTTCAGAAACACAGCAGGTTTCCCTTTATGGTGACATTTGAGAGTCTGTGACACCATGAATGTGATTCTGTTTTCTGCAAGGCATATGCTCATCATCACAATCATTCATATAGGGGGATGGAGAACTCTGAGTCTGGCTCACAAACTCTCCTGCACACAGACATCTGGCCATCATGGGGCTGTATCTGACACAGTCACCCTCATCAACCCCAGCGCGACCTGCTGGTGACCGCCTAGCCCAGCCTTGGCCTATCCCATCCCCATGGCAGTGCCTGATGCCCCCATCCCCCCCGGGGCTGGTTGCCCCAGCTGTCCCTAGGTCCTGCTCCCTTGGGATGGCGGACAGGTCCTGGTGACCAGAACTGGCTCTGCCGCACCAGCAGCCGCCCTGGGGAGCTGCCAGCTGTGCAGCGCCCAGATCATGAATGCAGTTAAAATGCCAGTCTCTGGTGCCAGCAATCTCACTCATTTTCTTCATGACACTCGTGTTCTTTCACATGTATTTTCCATGGCTCTGACGTTGCACAATCATTTTTACTACCCACATTTCTGCATATCATTTAAGTCAGAGTTATGAATGAAATCATCTACATTTCTACATGCTACGTTTGATATCAGCTGGGGTTTTGAATTGAACAAGTGTATTTTATTGGAAGTAGATCTTTTACTGATTTATCTGTTCTATATTCATACACATATGAATATACAACCAAATTTTCCCATTTGTATTTGAGGTATCTTGAGTCATTTTGTTTGAAGTTCTCTGGTAAAGAAACTGAAATCCCAGAAGGGAAGAAATTAATGATAAAAAAACAAATGGAAATGTCACGTTTGAGTTTGGCTGCCAATCTGGCAAGATATTGCCATGGCTGGTATAATGCAACTGAAGGTACTGCAACACTTTCAGTCTAAGGCCAGATGTCTCACTGCTTGCATGGGGAACTGGACAGTTTCATGGCTGTTATGTTGACATATCATCCATGCTTGTTCAGCACTGAGTCACTGTACACACACATGAACATTATGTGGTCAAAACTGGGCATATTTCCTCTTTCTAAGAAGAAAGATCAGAAAACTGCTGAGTCTAGGCTAACTGACCAACACTGAGGCCCAGTGGAGAAATGAGAGAGAGAGAGTCTAGGTGCAGGATATACATTCATCCGCACTGCAGGCAGAAGGTATTAACACCTTTTAAAAATGCATGATAAGATTGTCACATTATGTCCTGTGTCCTTTACATTGTTCAAGCGGAAAAAAATAGCTGGATTATTACTTGCCTTGGCTCCATCAGACATGGCTGCATAGCCCCTTTCGCCTCAGGGGAGGCAGCAAAGGAGGTGATTTCAGAAACTGTATACTGTTAATATAAAAGCCTTTGGACTCCTCTAGCATCCAGGCTCCCCACCTAAGTAACGACAGTGTGGTCCCAAATGTCATTTTCTCACTTCCCAAAGGCATGTCTGAAGTATGCCAGATCTCAGATTGGAGTAGCACCATGTTGCTGAGAGTAAGTGACCAAAAGGACAGTGATGGTGCTCTAGCTACTGGCTTGGCTCCTTCACGCAGGACAGAAGAGACCGGGAGCTCAATCCCCATGTTGACAAACGCTGTGAGGGAGAGAAGCTCATACCATGCATGTCAGCAAGAAAGGAAAAGCGCTCTTTTCCTGTAGGTATGTTCTTGCTCTCTTCTAGTTCTGCAGGGCTATCAATCCTCCACAAAACAGAGAACTCATTCAGATTGGATATTGGTTCCTTTTCTTTGAGGAAGGTGTTCAAAAATACACCCATTTGCAAATATAAGCTAAAAGGTAATTACTAGCATACTCAACAGCACTTTGGACAGCCCCTTCAAATGCCATCCATTCGTTAACCAGCAGGAGAGGCGTAAAAAACATGGAAAATGGTTTTGTGGTTATTTGACAGCCTGAATGTGTGGCAATCAGTGTAAAAGCCCTTTTTTTATATGGTGCAGCAAAACTAGTAAAAGTCAGTGGATCTCAAGCAAGAGCATTAAGAGCCTCTTTACTCCATATCTCATGTTACATACGGTAACCTTGGCAAATGCTCGGTTAGCAGATGTGCAAGTACACCTTTGTGGGTGTGCAGCAGCACAGTATTAAATCTCATTTATAATTTGTTAATTAAAATGAAATGGGCTATTCCTCCTGACAAGTTGCTTTGCTCCTTCTGACAGGTTGGTTTGCTTTGACAGGAGAGAGGGAATCTAAAATGGTCTATAGGGCAGTTGACTTCAGGGACGTGCTACAATCAAACCCCAGTCTACACCCTTCCCTTGCCCTGCCCTTCAGAGACCAGGCTCCTTAGACCCTGCCATGCCCTCCTGAAGAGAGAAAATAGGGTGAAAGTACCATTGATGGTGTCTTGTCTGGCACAGTGACATGGGTCCATCACAGATCATATTGCTAATCTCCTAGTGATCTAAAGGTGTGAAATCAAAGCTGCTGCAGTGCTGAGTGCAGCAGCAAACAGTTACATGAAAATAATGAGAGCGCTATACAATTCGCTCAATCCTTCTGTTTCTCGGCTGCATTAAGAAAAATCTAGACTGCTGCAACCATTTTTCCTTTCTCCTTCTTTTTATTTGCCTTATTTTCTTATGTAGTAGCGACAGAGGTGTTCACGATATAGGCTGCAGAGTGGTTACCCAACTATGAACCGAGAAGCTAAGGTTCTGCTAATATTATAGCAAAAGTTTCTGACACTGATAGTGTCACCATGAAAATACAGTATACAAGGTGCTACA